CCCTGGGAATCGTTGCCGTCGTGCTCTGGTCAACGCTCTCGGCGGGCGAATAGCCAATCTGCGGACAGAGACCGAGCCATATGGGATACCACTTTAACCTTTGAAAAAAAAAATATTGTACAATATGTTTTATGGTTGTTTTCCCTGTTGGATGTACCACTGTATAAGACAGATAACAGTTAACCATAATGTTTTGTAATGTATTTGAACCACACGCAGTATTAAAATGTGGTTACGTGAGTTTTAAATGTACGTTTTCATTGTATAATCAGAGACAGGAGACAAACAATGGAGCCATGCAAATGATATATATACTTGGCGGTTAAAGAGAAATTCATATTGTTTTCTCTGTGTAAGTACGTAGGCAGCTAAGCAAGTTTTTTTTTTTTTTTTTTTTTTTTTTTTAGTGTCGTAATAAAGTAATTAGGTGAATATTTCGGTGTTTAAGGAATTAAAAAAACAATTTGGTTTTCATTGACATAGGTAAGTAGCAAAGTATTTAAGCAGATAAGTAATTTAGCAGTTTAATAATTGGCTGTGGGGGTGGGGGAGGGTTATTATAACCTAACAACAGAAGGGGTAACTGGGACTTGTGCCTAGGTGATCCTTATCCGTGTCACATGGTGCTAGTGTGACGTGCCCTTGTTAGGGTTTGCCCTAACGAACTAAATGGCACTCTAAAGTAGTTTCTAAAGTTGGGATGTTTGCTCGCAATGGTCTGGGTGGAATCCCGCAGCTCTAATGAACATCCAACCTATTTCAGGGGTGAGGCGACTCAAATTATAACACTACGGAATACATAAACCTTCCTAGGCGCAACTTGGCCTAACTTCCTCACTAATATTAAGCCCCCAGACTAGATAGTACGTCTATGCTAGTCAAAATAACACAGTATAACATGTATTTAAGTACCACTACAAATACTCCAGACAACTAGGAACTGTGAAGGATGGACACTAAAAACAGAATGTAAAAATCACAAAACATCATGTAATCAGTGTAACAATTGTAGGAATTAAACTTAAAACGAATTCAGCAAAGTCAATCATCACTGAGGAAACAAAGACAAGTTATGACAGATGAGCATCTGTTGTCCCTAGTGGCAGCCAACATCATTAATGCTAAGATGTGAAATACTGGAACCAGGAAACGTGAATTTAAGTATAGGATTAACCGCCGGTGCTGGCCTTTCTAGCGTAACTGTCACAAGGTCCGGTCCACTGGGACGAAGGTCTCTTTAAACATCTACGAAAGCTGGTGTGCTGACTCGCCAACTCCTCCTCAGAGTAAAAAAAGATCATACGGTCAATGACTGGAAGCACTGACAAACAAAATACCAGGAAAAATATATTGTCAATGTCCTGTTTATATCACGGGTTTGGAGTCCGTGTTAATGGTTAATATATTCACAAGTGTCTGCTACACCTTGCCATAGACAGAAATGATGCCACACAAATCTCTGGATACCACACCAACTACTGGGGATGACCCTCTCACGTGTAGTAGAATACCGTCACTTTAACGTCACTGACAGGGTGCATGAACAAGAGAGACATGATGAAACATTTTACTTCTCCTGGCTGCTGGAGGTGGGGTATACTGGGTCTTTTTTTTTTTTTTTTTTTTTGGATACTTGATTTTCGACCTGGCCTCCAGTGAGGTTAAAATGCCATGCTCAATGATATTCTTGTATGAATCATTAATTCAAATAAATATAGATAGATAAACAGCACAGAGGCAGCAAGCCGTGCGTCTTCGAAGCTCAGTCAAGAATTAAATTGAAACCAAGAGTCTCTCCCTATAGAGGCCGGAGAAGATTCATCTGGGTCCAAAGCGGCAGTTAAGCCATTGGAATTTCGGCTTAACTATCAATTAATCTTCCACCTTAATGTTCCTAATTCAAAACTATGACCATCCTAAAATAATTAGGATAAAATTAAGTATTTAACCCGACATGTAGACACATAATTACAGAAAAATAACTATTTACCAATAGAGGAAAGTCCATTTTTCAAAACGACCTCATTACCATAGAGGTAACACGATCCAAGTCTAATTCGAGAGGGGTGTGAGCTGTCCCGTGACAATCCGAATGGTGGCACTTTATGTTACCGGCTGTTGGTCGCTTGTTGTGGGGTCCTAGTTGGGTTGAACGACACACATACAATATAACCAGAGAAAGCAGCGAGTAAACAGGACATCTAAACATGATATAACATAGCCGAGAAACTGAATAGGGTATAACTTCAGAATTGCCCGTTGAAAATAAAGAATGAAAAGATGAGTTCAACAGAGGAAGAAGAATTGGATACTTCCAAAAGGAGTAACAGTGTCTAGGTCCACTTGTACTTGCTAAAATACCTTGGGCTGTGAAGGATCTTCATAAAAGCTTAATGTGGTTTACAGAGGCATAAGTTATGGAGGCTATTGAAGCTCACAAGGTTAACAAAGTGTGTGGAAAAAATGGAATTTGTCCAGAAATGCTCAAAATTGAGGAGACGCAAACAACGAAACTGCAGTGCACGATTTTACAAGAAATGTATAACACGGAAGAAATTCCACACTAGTTAGTTAGTTAGTTAGTTAGTTAGTTAGTTAGTTAGTTAGTTAGTTAGTTAGTTAGTTAGTTAGTTAGTTAGTTAGTTAGTTAGTTAGTTAGTTAGTTAGTTAGTTAGTTAGTTAGTTAGTTAGTTAGTTAGTTAGTTAGTTAGTTAGTTAGTTAGTTAGCTAACTAGTTAGCTAACTAGTTAGTTAGTTAGTTAGTTAGTTAGTTAGTTAGTTAGTTAGTTAGTTAGTTAGTTAGTTAGTTAGTTAGTTAGTTAGTTAGTTAGTTAGTTAGTTAGTTAGTTAATTGGTTAGTTAGTTAGTTAGTTAGTTAGTTAGTTAGTTAGTTAGTTAGTTAGTTAGTTAGTTAGTTAGTTAGTTAGTTAGTTAGTTAGTTAGTTAGTTAGTTAGTTAGTTAGTTAGTTAGTTAGTTAGTTAGTTAGTTAGTTAGTTAGTTAGTTAGTTAGTTAGTAGTCAGTTAGTTAGTTAGTTAGTTAGTTAGTTTTTTTTGTAATTTAGTTAGTTAGTTGGGATATGATCATTGCCCTCCGGACACTTCCATAGGTGCTCAGATCCTTCCCTCATTATAAATCCCAGCGTCCTATTGCCAGTTCTTTGTTGACTGATAAGTCTTGTTGTATGCCCGGTGTGTTTCTCGCTTTTAGCTATGCCGATCTCAACTCACAAGTCTTTCATTCTAGTGAGCGATGTGGAATCGCTGTCTCGAAACTCCTCCACCCTTCCTACTTCTCTGAGGGCATTAATAACATCAGCATGATCCATGGGTTGACCTTCAGCAGTGACAGCGGATCCAGCCAACTTATCAGTCCTTTCGTTTCCATCGACGCCCGCTATTCCACACTAGTTAACAAATGTTAACATCATCAAACATCAAAAGAAGGGGGATTTAGGAGACGATAATAACTGAAGAGTTATCCCAATTCTTTAGTTTGTATGTCTGCCTGTATGTTTTTTTCCACCGTCTTCGTGTTCTGTCTTAGAGTCTGCTGCCATTAAATTGTCTTTTCGTACTCGTCTGCATAACTGTTACACGTCATCCTCTTTATATGTCTAAATCCCAACCATTGTAGTCTATTAGCTTTCATGATGTCAGTCATTAGTGGGAATTTAAGCAAAATATGAATCTTCCCTATTTAAATTTCATATAAAATGCATTAGTAGTATTTATTAATATCACTTAACTGACCTCAACTTTGAACCTGTTTTTTTTCCGATAGAGAGAAAGAGAGAAATATTTTTTAATGCAGTCTTCGTTGCCAGACTAAGACATTGACTGCAGAAAGCCCCCCCCCCCCCCCCCCAAAAAAAAAAAAACACACACACACACACAAACACACAAACACTCACACACACACAAACACCCCCCCACACACACAAACACACACACACACACACACAAAATGACAACCTGAGAAATGCTTCTTCATTTAAAAAAAAAAAAATCCGTCAGCGAAACTAGAAGAGATCTTGTGAGAAACCAAGAAATTTCAAGAACTACTGAAGCAACACATATAATTGAAATAAATGAAAAGCAGCCATGAAATGATTTGTCAATTAAATGAGAATAAATCTAATGATGCCATCAACGAGAGCATACACCATGAAAATAGGCATATCAAAATGTAGGGGACGACTGAGAAGAAGATAGTCTGAAAGAGTAACTGATACCATGAAACTCTGCAACATCACAGCATTCAGGGCCACCAGGAACTTCCGGTCAAAATGAACGCTATGCACGGTCACTGTTTTGAGTCGTGGCAAATTTTTTGCTTCTGCCAGATGGTGGCCGTTGCATTTTTGTTTTATTTGTAGACTGAAAGGATCATGTTTCGCCGCCCAGCTACTGAGTGTAGTGCATGCGTGATCCTGTGAGCTGCGGATTTCATTCGAACTGTTTTCTGACTGTGACCAACGTGGTGTTGTGAATTGTACATTCAGAAAATAGTCCGTGAACTGTCGTTGCAATATTAATGGTGCGCTTATGTGATTAAAATTAATCGCGTGCGCAATTACTGATCTGTCGGTAACTTTTGCTACCGTCGATGATGAACTGCATTTCTAATGTCGGACTGTTTGTGTTAGCACTTCGGGTGGCTACCGTAAGATTTTAATGCGTGTGTATGCTAGTGCATATGCTGAGACAATAGTCTGTCAATCTTTCCAAAAGGGACTGGGGACGAACATTCTGTATGTTTTTTCTTTAGCATAGGAGCGGAGCAACTATGGGGTGACCCGTTTGCTATGAAGTTGAAACTAAGATTACTAGGATTACTAAGATTACTAATGACAACCAATCGTGTCCTGACGCGGCCCCCCCCCCCTTTTTTTTTTTTTCGCAAACCCCCCCCCCCCCCCCCCCAATTGAGCAACAGATTTATATTTCCTTTTTTTTTAAATTTTTTTCAGGGCATCTCATAATTATCGGAGCGACGTTTATGATTGTGTCACTGATAACAATGATACATCAGTTATGTGACCTGTTCTCATCTAATACGGTCAAGGAGCCTGACCCTACAAGACGAAAAGGCCGAGATAGATCAAGACTTAATTACGACATCAATAATACAAATGGAAGGCTGCATTTCTTTCACAGAGCATATTTTAGAGACCAGAGAGCTTCTGTTGAACACACATTTTCTACTGACCAGATACTTCCTGCCTGCCAAATGCCAGAAGTAGACCCTTATGTGCCTAGTGTCCTGAAGATTTCTGGACAACATCTACGGACCCTCATGTGTGAAGGCAGTTACCTGCCAGATCTCACGTACATTTCAGGGGGCATGCAGATTAATGTCAACAAAAGCAAGGTAGAGGAATACATGAAGTATAGTGATTTTGAAAAGTGCAGATACTTAAATATTCTACGTAACGAAACAGATTATAACAGTGTTATTTACAGCGACTGGTCTGAAGGTTTTAAAGACATGATAGCCCTACCGCAAGGTGTAGAATTTCTATTAGTAAGGTGTAAGAACACCAAATCTGAAATTGTTTCAAATACGTATTTTTCTCTGATTCCAAGAAAAGACCCTAGTCTTGGGAGCTCTAGGAATTTCAAGAAGCGTCGCGTTAAATCCTCTTCGATAGAAACATTAAATGTAATTATGATAGGCATGGACACATTGCCTAGACATCAACTTTTAAGAGGCTGTAAAAAGACATATTCATACTTAGCAAATTCACTGAAATCATTTGATCTAACTATGCACTCACAACTGGGAGAAAACACATTTCCCAATTTCTTGCCATTGTTTACAGGCCAATCCCAGGACGAAGTCAGAAAGTCATGGTCTAATAACAGCCATACAGACAGATTGGACCTGATCTGGCAAATATTTCAGCAGTCTGGTTATGAGACACTATTCACTGAAGACATGCCTGATTTCTCCGTGTTCCATTATTTTAAGAAAGGGTTCATGAGTTTTTCTACAAGATATAACTCACGCCCGTTAACTTTAGCAATGTATAAAGATTTGGATATATGGAAGCACAATGATAACTGCGCCGGGAACCAGGTTGAGTTAAATGTCCATCTGGATTATGTTCTCCGCTTTCTGGACACTTTCCCAGACAAACCTGTCATTGCAGTAGCTATGCTGACTAAACCCACTCATGACTTTCCCATGAATGCCAAAATGTTTGACGAACATCTCTTTAATTTCTATCAGTCGTTGAATCAGAAGGGTCACCTCAACAGATCTTTAATTGTGTCATTCTCTGATCATGGTGTCAGATGGGGTGACCTGAGAGAGTCCGTGAACGGAATTTTTGAAAGCCGAAGTCCCTACACCATTCTGACATTCCCAGACTGGTTTCTGAAGAAGTACCCGGATGTGGCAGCAAATTTACGGGCGAACACCAAACGTCTAACAACTCACTTTGACACACACGCAACTCTGTTAGATCTGCTCTACTTCAAGAGCAACTTAAAGCCACTACCTCTTCTCAGACACGGGGTCAGTCTCTTTGAGGAGATCCCTGCCAATAGAACATGTAGGGATGCCTTCATACCAAAAGAGTTCTGCCTGTGTGGGTATAAGCTTCTTGCTGCCATAAAGATTAAGTCCAATTTATCAAAACGTTTGGCCAGAATTGTTATAGAAGCAATAAATTCACAGACAAACAAAACTCAATGCGCTGCTTTAAAACTGTATCAAGTAATTCGAATCCTTGAGATTGCCTTGAATGAAAAGAGCATCAAAGGCGAACGAGACACAACTGTATACAAGGTTAAACTGGAGACCGTTCCAGGTCATGCATTGTTTGAAGCTAATGTTTACGCTACCGGAAATTCGTTTCAGTTGAAAGTGGGTAACAGCATTGGCAGACTAAACCCGTATAAAGGTCAGTCTGACTGTGTTGGAACAGCCGATGACAGACTGTTTTGTTACTGTAACAATTTATTATGAAAAGCATTGCATTTGTTTGATCTAATGTATATTGTTGTTGGTAACTGACATCAAATAATCTTCATGCGTGGGTTACAGTGCCTGTTTTAGGAAGAAATGAATAGACAAACTACCTTTACTAACAACCACCGTGGTGTAGTGGTTAGACGCCAGCATGCGGATCGGAAGGTCGTGTGTTCTGCTCCTGGCGGAGCCGGGCATTTTTCAAAAATGAGCTTTGTCTCTAGGTGAACTCAGCCTTGAATAAGTACCAGGAGAAGTTGTGGGAAGTAAAGACGGCCTAGTGAAGCTGACTAACATCACCGTCAAAAGATATGTCTAGCCCTACATGTCCAATACACATGAAGACGTGGAAAGAGTTCTTTACTTTTACTTCACCTCACTTACAAAAATATCGTACAAGGTGACTAATTATGCTATTACTAAAATCGGATGTACTGGACTGAAAGGTGCAAATATCACAGCCCACAGGTAAACAACAAAAAATAGTACTAATTACCTTTTTAAGCGTGAAAACAATGTTTCTTAGTCTTTCTTGCTCAACCCTACCACTCCTTCATGTGGTAGACCATGTTCTATCCACTGTCTCAGTGGAAGGTTGGAGTTCCATCACCAAAAGGGAAACTAGATGGGACAAAAAATGTGTCAAGAACTTACATGTCTAGGGTTCGAATCTATGGCAGCGCTGCAGGCTGTTTTCAAATAAACTCTGCTAAAGAACACACCCAAACCAAACACGGGTTGAACACATTGACATAATCATTATTATCTAAGAATACAAACTCATAGAGGTGTGTGCCTCATGAGTTGTAGTGCTCCTTATTCTGAAACCAAGCCGCTCTCCCTTTTAAATCGCTAGACGCGCCTTTTCACGTTTCATGAAATAAGCTCTGAGCTCCTACCACACTCCGGTACACCGCTATCTCAGCTCGCTGTCTCCTGATGCCAAGGATTCTGTGACACACTCCGAGTGACGGCCAGAGGTGCGTCAGCAGATGCTAAAGTCTAATAACAATGCATAGCCTTGTTTCCCTGTACGAGCTATCACTACTGAACAAATCTACATGCTATCATGAATCTATCTGCTAAATGAGATCTGAGTAAAATAATTTCTTCCTACACCGTAAAGTACTAACCACTTTTAGTCAAACCCCGGACTGTTCGAATCGCAGCTTACATCTAACACACGCCACATTTCTACCGCCCGTTACGATTTGTCAATGAACTATTACAATCTGTCTGGTCAAACAAAGTCCAAGTCACACAGATGTCCTCCCAAGAATCCTCGATTTGTTGTTTTGTTGAACTCCAAGGGTTCAGGGTTCAGTGGTCACTTCGTGAAGCCAACTGCTGCCCGGCAAGCCTAGTTTTAGCTAACACAGATTTATCAAAGTATTGGCTTGTCTGCACTGGCCCTGAGTTTAGTTAGGGTTCACTGTCCATATTCTTGTTGATTCATCCTCACCACCCTGGACTGTCCCATAACCGGGACAGCCCCTGACATCATGAGGTGAAAGCGAAATCTGCTTCCGCAAGCTACTGAGTTTAGTGCATGGTGCGACACTGTGAGTGTCTGTGTATAATTTTTTCCAATCCGTCTTGGCGCTTGATATGACCAAAATATTTCAGCTTCCGAAACAAGATTCTATTTATTAGCCAATCTTCCTTAATTTTCAGACCTTTCAAGATGTCAGTATTTCTCCTCTTCTTTGTCCAAGATATTCTGAGAATCTTTCTATAGCATTTTAGCTCAAAAGCCCCTATACTTTTTCTTAAGGACTGAGAGATAGTCCACGACTCACATCCGTATGTAGCCAAAGGGAAGATGCATACTCTAAAAATTCTAATTTTGATCTCCTTGCTGGTGCTTAACCATAGACTTTTAAGGCTGTTCAATCTTCGCATTGCTATGGCCATCCTCCTTTTAATTTCTGTCAAATATTCTCCATTGCTGTTTATTACAGAGCCTAGATATTCAAAGTTTGTGACATTTTCAATTTCGTCATCATTTATCGTGGGTTTTTTTTTTTTTTGTGGGGGAGGGGGTGTGGGGGGGGGTGTGTGGGGGGGGGGGGTTGACAGCCAGTTTTATCAGTGGATATTCATTTTCGTTTTCTTTGAACTAAAGTACAGATTTTGATCTTCACTGTGCTTTTAGACAGACAATATTAAATTTTCTATTCCATTTTCGCTATTCGAAAGGAGGACTGTCATCTGCGTAGCGAAGTTCCGGAATAGGGTGGAAACCAATTTTGAGTGAATCATAACTGTCACAAGTCTGGTCATTTTTGACATTTCACATTATATTTTCTGCGTATATATTGAATAGGTAGGGTGAGAGAATGCACCCCTGCCTCCCCCACCCCCCCCCCTTTTGCACCTCGAACCAATCAGATGTTTCCCCAGCTGGTCTGGTGGCTGCTTGTTGTTTTTGATGAAGATTTTCAATTAATTGCACTAAATGCGCTGGTAATCCCATACTTTTCCTAATAGTCTACTGTGGTGTTGGACACAATCAAATGCCTTGCTATAATCAATAAAACAATCATGAAGATCTACGTTGCATTATCTGCATTTTTCAAAAATTATTCTCATATTAAAGATGTGATCCCTAGTTCCTCTACCCTGTCTGAAACCCGCTTGTGCTTCATCTAGCTCATATTGTAATTTCCTTTCAATCCTCTATATGATTATTCATAAGAGGATTCTGCTAGCATGACTTATTATTGCTATGGTACAAACGAACAAACGAGCGAAACAACAAACAAATTTTATTTTCAGAGGGTTAGAAATTGGGCATGCAGGCCCGTCTGATAATCGGCCCTTCTAAGCACTCATCTTTCAGAGTACTTATGCCTGTTATCAATGATGCATGGTACGGTAGTTGGAGCATAGTTTCAGATTTCTTTTTTTTTTTTGGGGGGGGGGGGGGGGGGGGGGGGGGGGGGGGGGGGGGGGGGTGGGGGGGGGAAAGAGGTATATAGATAGTTCTTTTCCACGCTTTAGGCCAAATGCCACTGTTCCAGATCTTTGACTACAGTGAATGTTAGATTCGGACGCTGGCCTCTCCTTCTGTTTGAATTAGCTCTGCTATTATTTCGTCGCAACCTAGTGACTTTCTTTTCTTCAGGCTGTGTATTGCTGATCGTACTTCATCCAGTAAAGGCTTTGTTTCTTTTCCATAACTTTCATAAGTTGTTTACCTGACCTGGGTGCCTCACCATCAGATCTTTGAGTTTCATTTTTGGCTTCTATTATGAGTTGTTTAAGATAGTAATGTAGTAGTTACCCTTTGCTTTTCACATCCACTTGGCTTTAGACTATGTCCTCAGCCTTCAGAAACCTGTTCGATTCCTAGGGCAAGTGAGTGCCCTGCTCTGTGATGCTCCTGCTAATAGCAGAGAGCACCCCAGAGGTGTCTACTTATCCCGGTGGACAACGCAGGGTGTTTACCGTCCTCTACCGCTAACAGATTCTTGAGACCAGAATGGCATTTCCCACAACTCTGCAGTACTTTCTTCGTTCAAATAAGGAACACATTTTCCTTTTTGCGTGTGGTTAATTTAAAGCCCCAACCTGAACGTCGTCCGGGGTTCTAAAATAACTTAACGGTTGAACGGGATTATTAGGACTTGTGCTCTGTTGATCCTGAAAGGTGTCCCTTTTTGACACTGGGTGTTTATCGCTCATCGTGAGGTCCTAGTGGGGTTAAACGTCACTAACTCGGTTAAAGAAAGATTTATCATTTTTACAGAATTACTGATATAAAATTGTAGAGGAATTTTGCAAAGGTAATTATTTCATTTATATGTACATTAAATTATACGGTAAACTGTTTTTTTAAATGCACAATATTACTTATGTCATGGGTCTTAAATAAATGGTTATTTACTAGCAGTTGTTACAGTCATATATAGTTTATTTAACGATACTCTTGCAGTCAATAAGAAAATAAAAAGTGTGGGTTCTATGTTTTTAAATGTTATAAATGAATGAAATTAAACAAACCTAATGCATTATGTAATTCAAGTTGGAGATTCATCATCATCATAATCATTATCATCACATCTTTTCTTTATCTTCTTGCACCGTGCCCTGTTGAGTGGAAATACACTGTATCTTGAAGGACAATTCTCTATTGCTTTGCGTATGGGGATTTCATTTGTCGTTTTAATTCGTTGGCATCTTTCCGTGTTTCCAAACGTGAGTATTATCTTGTGCTATGGGTCGCCATGGCAGTCACAGAAATTGGCGATGGCGAATGTGACGACTGTGGCGAATGTGACGACTGTGACTAGAAAGATTCGCCTGCGATAAGAAAAGATTTTTTATAATTGAAGAAGGTGATTTTAGGACCTCTACAAAGCACAAAGCGTTGAAAGTGTTTTAGAGAACGCGTGTTGGCCATACACCATGATCCCTGACTCGGCCTGCCTTGTTTACTCCAAAGGAAAGGCAACACTAGTACGTTTGGAACAAAGCAGTTGCAGAAGCGCTGTCTGCCTGTTATAGCTCTCCTGCAACATTCAGATTAGCAGAAAACAGGTATAGTGCGTTTCAAAAGTAGTGCCTTAACATTTAACAAATATTTCCAAAAAGTCTGTATAAATAAACACGATTTTTTGCATGTGATCTTTGATTTATTTATTTTAGCAAGGAGATAAAAATTAGAATTTTGAGAGCATGCATCTTTCCTGTGGCTACATACTGATGTGAGTCGTGGACTATCTCTCAGTCTTTAAGAAAGAGAACAGGGGCGTTTGAGCTGAAATGCTAAAGATGGATTCTTAGAATATCTAGGACAAGGAAGATGAGAAATATTGACATCTTAAAAGATCTGAACATCAATGAAGATTGGTTAATAAACAGCATCCTTTCTCGAAAGTTGAAATATTTTGGTCATATCAAGCGCCACGACGGATTATAAAAAAATTATAGCAGAAGGCGTGGTACCAGCAAGGATGGGCAGGGGCCCACCGATACGAATATGGGAAGAGGAA